CTGTACTTGTAAATTTATAGGAAAATCACTTGAAAATTAAGGTGCGTAATGATTGTGTATAGACAAAAACAAAGGTTTAGTAAGTTCCCAAATAAATCAATCTATATATTTTCAACAATATACAACATCATGTGTTTTTACATTACCATCTAAAAATAATAATAATCCATACTACAAGGTGTCCACATAAAAGGTGTATGAATCGTAAAATCCAAGGATATGTTTCTATATTATTATTCCTGAATATGAATGAAAACTTAAATAGTAAGAATATTTAGGTCTTGATAAAATAGTAAACGTATCTACTTATAGGCCTTAGCTTAGCCAGCTAGTCGACTTTTCTTATTTTCTAAATCGTTTTTAGTTTACATATGTTATTCATTCATGTAGCTTATTTGTTATCAATTTTCATTTTTTTTTTTACCTCATATAACTGGGGGATGAGGTAAACTATATTCTCGCCCCCTCAACATTTTTATTGGGAGGGATCGCCTCCCACGCCCCCCCCCTTTCGAAGTCTGCGCCTATGATTGTGAATAAAATGTTTATTATTTCATTGTTTTTTACATTGAAGAGAATTCGGTTGGGATGTTCAGTCAAAAATACAAAGTTAAAATTAAAAAATGGTTTTAAAAAATGATAATAAAAAAATATCATTTATTTATTTTTACTTTGTTTTTGTTTTTTTACTGAACACTCAGCCAACTTCTCTTCAATTTTTTACTGCAATCAACTATCAATCCACTTTTTTTTTTACATTACATGAGATAAAAAATGACAACTTTCACATACTACCCTACTCTATAATAAAATAGGTATTTTCACGAATATATAAATTAATGTAAAAATTATAGACAGCATCAAAGACGGATTTAACATATTTAATTAACTTATGTTTTTCCAGCCGTCTTATATGTTAAATTTTTTCGTTTTTTTTTTTTTTTTTTTTTTTTTTTGTTACTGTCCTTTTACTTTTAATACTGAATCTGTTAGTTATTTATTTAATTATAATAGTACTAAGAATTTATTTTAGTCCGTCATGAGCGACGCACAGTGGGACCGATAACCGATTTAGGTGGACAAAATTCACAATAAGGTAATAATGAACCGAGCCCCTGTCTATTACTAGAACAATTGAATTTCGAGATGTCCGTCAATAGTGCAAAACGGTGGTTTTTTTTTAATAGTGATTACACCTGCATAATTGAATATTTTTTCAATTTTAAAGTGTTAAATAGAAAGAAGAGACCCTAGAGATTCTAAACGTCAAACGGAGAAGTTCGTACCTATAATAATTACGGTGGCATATGACAAAACTTCTCTTACCTATGTCCACCACTGGTGTGCTTACCCTACTTAGCGCAAATCTGCGCAAAATTTGTTGATTGTTTCTTTAAAGAATATTAAAAATAGATAGATAGATAGATAGAAAGTAAACTTTATTCTGGGACAAGGTCCCTTATGAATAACAGATATGAACAAAAAAATAAAAACTACATCTGGCCAAAAATTACATTAATCAATATTAAAGTATATATACAGTATCTTCAGTGAAATTAAATTAAAACAAGTAAAAATAAAATAAAATTTTGAGAAAAAAACGAAATAAAAAAAAATTATTTAAATGAAAATAAAAATAAAATAAAATAAGCATGGGTTGATTTTTAAAATTAAGACTCAATAAATTTTATCAACCATTCACCTCAGTCAAAATCTGTTTCACAATATTTATTTTATTGAACAACGTCATTTTGGGATGTGAGAAGGAATTGGTAGAGATGATATTTAAATGAGGACAAGGAAGAGGCATGGCGGATTTCAGATGGCAAGGAATTCCAGAAGGCTGTGGATCGGGAAATAAAGGAATATTCAAAGTCTTAGTTCTATGGGAAGGGATATAAAGGTCGGAAACACGGGATCTTGTTTTCTGGGAGTGGGCCACGGGTTTAAACTGTAGGAGACTGTAGATGTAAGAAGGGTGTCTGGTGTTGATTGTTTGGAATAGGAAAGATCCGAGGAAATATTGTCTGCGGAAAGAAGGGAAGAGCCACTTTAACTCGTCGTAAAGGTGGGACACATGAGATCGCCTTGATGTACCGAAGACAAATCTTAAGCACGTATTCATGAGTCGCTTCAATCTATCCTCGAGTACCATCGGGATGCCTCCGTACACCACACAGCCGTAGTCAAAGTGGGGGAAAATGAGAGAGGATACAAGGAGCTTGCGGATGGGTTGTGGGAGTAGGTGGCGGGAGCGATGAAATAGCTTAAGGGTACCTATTGACTTACGGGAGATGAGGGCGATATGGGGTTTCCAGGAGAGGTTTTCGTCTATGGTGATTCCTAGGTTTTTAACGGATGAACTGAATGTGACAGGATGATCGTTGATGACTAAAGGAGGAAGGAAGGAGATAGATTTAAGAATAGGACTGGAACCTATAATAATGGCCTGAGTTTTCATCGCATTTAGATTTAAATTATTCAGACTTGCCCAGGCACTGATCCTATCTAGGTCAGCCTGAATATTGGCGAACGCGACTAATAGCTCAGAAGGATGAAAGGAAAAATATATTTGGGTGTCATCAGCGTATAAATGATGTGAACAGTGGTAGATGGATTTGGAAAGATCATTTATGTAGGAATTGAAAAGGAGAGGGGAAATGCTCGAACCCTGGGCCACTCCAGAGGACAGTGTAAGAAAGGAAGATAGGAGTTGGTTTGGAATGCTGACTGCTTGAGTTCTGTCGGATAGGAAAGACTGCAACCAGAGGATAGAGCTGTTGGAGAAGGATAGAGATTTTAATTTAGTATAGAGTATAGAGTGGTCTAAGGAGTCAAAAGCTTTGGAAAAGTCGAGAAGTATTAACACAGTTAACATTTTTTCGTCCATTGCGGTATGTAAGTCATTGGTAATTTTTAGTAGGGCGGATTGTGTGGAAAAGCCAGGTCGGAAACCAGATTGGAGAGGATCGAGTAGTTTTGAGTTTTCAAGAAATTTAGAGATTTGGGATTGAGCTATTCTTTCCAGAGGTTTAGAAAGAATGGAGATTGGGCGGTAGTCTTTAGGAGAGGTAGGATTGGGAATTTTGTTGATAGGTCTGACTAATGCTTTTTTCCAAGCAGTTGGAAAAACTGAGTTCTGGAGGGAAAAATTATAGATGAAAAGGAGGACTGGAACGACTTCGAGAAGGCATTATTTTAACAGTTTGACTGGTATCCCATCAAGTCCGATGGAGTTTGTGTGTGATTTCATTATAGAGGAAATAAGGTCGGTCGGTGAAATGTTGGAGAAATAGAAATTATCATTGTTAAATGAGGGTGATAAGGAAAACTGGTGAGAGGTGGGTGAACTGTTGCTGGTGGTGGAAAATATAAAGTAGGAATTTAGTTCATCGGGTGATACCGGGTAGAACGGTGAGGAAGAGGATTTACAAAGAGAGAGTTTACGAAGGGTTAGCCATATTGATTTAGAATCAGGAGCAGAAGAGAAGGTTTCGTGAAAGAAGTTTGATTTCGCTTTCCTGATCGTTGTTTGTGTCAAGTTATGGAGTACCCTATAGACTTCATAGTCATCTGCTAGTCGAGTTCGTCTGAAGCGTCTACGGGCTGCCTCACGTCTCTTTTGCATGTCGCGGATTTCTTGACACATCCAAGGAGCAGGTTGGCGACGGAAGGTTGATGTTTTGATAGGAGCATGTATGTCAAGAATATGGATAAGATTAGAAGTGAGGATGTCTACCATATGATCAATAGAGGTACAGGAATAAATATCGTTCCAGTTTAGGGTTTCAAGGTCCGGTAGGATTTTATCACGGGTGAGGTTGTCAAGTTATGGTTTTAGGAAGAAACGTGGGAGTTTTGATATCGTACGATAATTGGATGAGATCATGAGAAGAAAGGAAAGGAACGGGTAATTAAGAACAGGACAAGAGTTTCTGCTCTGAATCGATGATATGCAAGTCCAGCCAGGTGTCAGACCAACAAGTATGGTGTGTAGGAGCGAAAGGAACAATAAAAAGGTTGAGGGAGAAGAAGAGTAAAATACTATAAAATGAAAAAAAAAAAAAAATTCTAGCGGTGGAATAATGAGAAGGCTATTTTATAGTTGCTTGTGTATTTCAAAGGTTTTATCAAAGCCGTTTTTTAAATACAATTGTGACTAGCATTTAAATGTTTAAACGTAATAAATTAACTCAGAGAAAATAAAATGTAGTTAACTGATAAAAATAGTTTTGAGCAATAACATACACAGGCACTGATTTTAACTACAAATAAAGTAACGCCTAACACCTTCAATTCTTCATAGACAAACAGGATATCTATATTCTGGTTCTCTTCGATTTTTGAAAAACCTTCGGTTCATTTAGTCATGAAACCTTCCTTTCCAAACTCCAGAACTTGTATCAGAAATCAAACAGCGTGTTAAAGTAAATCCAGCCCTTTTGTCTCATAGATTCCAAACAGTTATCATTCCGAATAGACTTCCTTTTTTTCCTGTTCTCCTAAAACGTGGTATTTTACAGAAGTCCTTAATTTCAGCAACCATTTTCTCTGTCTATATTAACGACATTCCTAATTCCATTCACAATTCACAATAGCACATATATGTTTATGACCCAAAAACTCTACTAAGATGCTTATAGCGATCCGTATATGAAAATATAGATATTTTACTATATTTAACTATATTAAGCTGACTTACATAAAGCTATATCAACGCTTGAGCCAAGCTTTTAATTAATTAATGAGCTTTTTCTTGAGAATTTTCCATCTCTTTTTTTGAAGCTTTTCCATCTCGGTACAAATTGATTGAGTGTACATACTAAAGTATTTTTATTGAACTAATAAACTTTATTATCGTTGTATAAGTATTCTAAAATATCAAAGATTTTTTTTAAAGAAATGTTTTCAATGTTGCAACACATCTAGATCATCTTTAAGCATCTTTCCTAAGTAATCGTTATTAGTTCTTTGCTTCCAACTTACAGGTAGGATTTCAATTTTGGTTGTCAAACTCAGTATTTCTGAGTATCAATTTTATGTTTCATAACTGGAATTTTTGTTCCCTGTTTTGATTGAAATTATTCGCATTTTTTATTAAAATGCTATTGAATTCTTAAATTTCTAATTTGTCTTTACATTTATGGCTTCAAGCTTTTTAACTCATCCTGGGGAATGGAAATTATCTATTCCTGACGCTATTGAAATTGATGGTGTAACTTTTTATAAACTAAATGTGAAGATTGGTGCTGTGAAATGGACAGTTAAACGAAGATACACAGATTTTTCTGACTTACATAAAGCTTTAGTACTTAATCATGGAGTTTCAAAGGAAATACTTCCTAGAAAATTATTATGCCTACTCAAAAATGACAAATTTATTGAATCCAGAAGATTAGGCTTGCAAAAGTATATTACTGATGTATTGAGGTACTTATCGAACACTATGCCTCCAGTTCTTGTCAGTTTTTTAGAAATGGATAAATATGATCTATGGTTCTTGCTGAAAGATCTTTCCTATAGAATTAAAAATAATGGATGGATAGAAAGTCCACCAATTGCTTGTGAGATTAGCATCATTGAGGTAATTTATCAATTTTTCTTTTATTTAGTGCAAGTACACAGTATTTAACTTAATAATAGTAGTAAAATTAAAATTCATCCCTATTATGGGCAAACTCTTAAACTCAGCACGGAGATTATTGATGAGCATCAGATATCTATCAGGTCTTTCCTAAACTCATTGATGTAACAGTGAGAAAGCTCCTAAATTCAGCGCTGAGGTAATTGATGGTAATTATAAATCAATTAATGGATCAGTGCTGAGTGCAATAACTTGTCCTATGATTGGTCCTGATTATTTAGTTGCAGTATTGCCAACAGTTGTTGCTTTGACTGCGGGAGCTCATTCAAGTGTTTCTACCAGATGCCAGATCCCAAAATCCAAAAAAACTTCAGAAAGATGTACCTTTTTTATTGCTTAAATTTGTTTAAAATACTATTTTGAGTCACCTTGCAAGATTTTAGCTTTCAAAAATGCATTTCAACTGTTCTATTCAATTTTTAATAAACGGGACATAGGCCTTCCTGGCTGCACATAGCAGTGCAAAATTAGAATTGCTTTCTTGCGTAAATGCTCATTTCTGAATAGCAAAATAATTCAAAATTATCATTAATATAACTGTAAGTGATCATAAAAATTAAATTATATTATTTCTAAGAAAAGTGCACCGACGGCGGGATTCAAATTATATATTTCTTTGTATTCACAAATTTTTTCTTACTTAAACAAAGTGCAGTTATAAATTTTATTGTTTTATTTATTTTTTGTTAAGTTGTTTTATATGAAATATACATATTGTTTTTAGGCGGATGGAAAAATTATAAAACAAATGACTTATCATTTTAATTCTGTATATTTTTGCATTTATTAACTTTTACTATTACATTTTAATTTTTGTATATTTTCACATTTACTTATTACGTTATATTTACAGAATGTCCCGTAAGTAGTGGGAAATTTTTATATGAGTGATCAGACCTCTAGACCTACAAAAAATTTCACTTAAACTATAAGCCAAATTTTCATCCGAAAAGTAGGAAATCCAAGTTTCGTATTTTTTTAAGAGATTCATGTTTTTTGTTAAGTGAAATAGGAAGTGATAACTAAAAAAATATTTAATTTAAGAATTAACAATTACTGCATTTTAAACTAGACAAAATTTACTATAGTAAAATATAATTAGAAAGAAAGGTTGTCATTATTAAAACCATTTATAGAGGACATTTGAGCGGCTAAACTAAGTTAAGTTCCGCTCTTTAAAAAAAATTATAAATTATTTGTAATTTTATACTACAGTTACCCAACTATACAGCAGTTATCCCACTTTTAGAAAAACTGCCTCATTTAATAAGGTTTTAGTTTATATTAATTAAATTGAGGTTTATCAGTCAAAAACTTAAAATTCACCTCAAATTGTGTAAAGAAATGATATGATTTCCTATCCAGTCATTTCAAAGTACCTGTGATTTCTGCAAAAATGACTTTAATTAACTGCTGCAAAGCTTTTATTTCTTGTTTTTCTGGGATATGGAATGTATTATAATAAACATATTTTATTTATAAAAAATTAAAATTTAAAAATAATGATTTGTGAATATTTGTTAGATACGGTAGATATGAAATTGTGTTTTCTCCCAGATTTCTATTATAGGAATTGATGTGTATTTATAAGTGACAAACTTTCTATACCTAATATTTATGTTTTCATGAAAATAATTGAAGCAATCAGTAGGTTTCTTTATTTTAAATGTAAATTTTAAGAAGAAGCGTTAAGTTTGTCGCTGATAAATACATATCACATATCTGGGATTAAAACACAATTCATTTAAAAAATCATTATTTTAATTTTTTTATATTTCTAAATAAACTGTATTTTTAGGCGATTGTGTTTATTACAATACATTCCATATCACAAAAAAACATGAAATGAAAGCCTTGCAATAGTTATTTTTTTTTTTTTAATCTTTATTTGTTTTGAGGGGAGAAATCCATACAAATAGAGTCTATCTTTGTATTATAAACATTACTATCCTTATGGTAATACATTTTTTTTTCTTTGTTATGCTACATTATGAATATTATAAAAGAGTTATGTAAAACTTACAAATCATATTTCGTAAAAAATCAAAGAGTTAAAATAATGCATAATAATTATCAACATCAACATAACATCTTAAATCATTAATAGAGCACATAAACAACAACAATAAATACATTTTATATTTTAAATATTAATATTGAATCATATTTTAAAATTAAATTAACAGTTTATTCACATATATAAAGGAAACAAGGCTGGAGCAGATTACATGACGAAATCTATTCTAAATTTTCGCTAAAATATTCAAAGGACAATATTTGACATTACCCCACCAAATCTTTGTAATTAGATATATTAGAGATAAAAAAAATATAATTTCCTCATATCATCTATAATGGTTGGCTTAAATATTTCCATTCCATTAAGATTTCCCGTTCCCTGGTAAATTCTTACTCTCAAACAATTGTATATTGAGCACTTAAATAAAATACCATAAAGTGTCTCTCTTTCCATAGTGTTGCACATTTTGCTCTCAAGTTGTGGAGTGAATTTTATAATTTTATTGTTAATTGAGACTTTAATCATGTATTTTCCCAAGAGGTGGATTTTCATTAATAATTTGGTATATTTGAAGTTAGCTGGCATCAACAAATACTGGGAGATCTGACCATTGTTAGAAAAAAGGTTCAAATGCTTACTGCTAAGCTATGCTATGCTGAGCTATACAATGCTTTCTTATCAGCCTCTAACAAATGTTATTTATATTTATTTAATATCCTTACAGTATTAGATCTAATTATCGCTGGGTTGATATCATAAACTAGATCGCCTTCACCAATAGTATATAACAATACTTTGAGCTGAGCACACCAATTATATTTTGATAGAGCTAAACACATTTTTACAATTTTCTCAGGAATGGCTGTTTAACGATTTTGATTAAATTCATTATATCAGTGTAAAATTAAGCAGTTTTAAATAAAATGTAGTTTTTATTCTGATTTATATTCTCTAACAGGGTTTAAATGGCAATTTTTCAATATTAGCTTCCTCTAAAGTACCTTTAATTTTTTTATTTGAAACAATTGACTATTTCACATTAATTTCTAATATTAAAGATAGTTGAATATAAAATAAGAAAGAATTTGATAATTAACTAAAGGAGAAATAAAAAATTGTAATGGAGAATAGTTGTAATTGACCGCATTCGAGCTTGCCCGAAAGATTATAACAGGCTTCCATACGTAACATGAGCTTGATATAATACAGATTCCGACTATATTATATAAATATAAGTACGCAGTTTTCATAAATGAAATTTTTGGTATTATTTGATATTTAATTGTATAGATTACTCCATTATAAATATTAAAATTTGTATATATAAGGGTACTTATAAAAATAAAAATACCCACAATAAAATATAAATATTTTTATTTAATATAAATATAAATAAATTTATTTAATATATTTATTTAATATAAATAGCATCTATAATTTTTACTGTCACATCTCTTTTGTCTGAAAATACTTATTTCTGCTAAGAGGGTGATAAGTGAAAGTTGTGAGATGCGCGCACCGCACCAGATTTTTTATCTATGTTGCTGTAAAAGGGAGATATTTAGCGTAAACCAAAAAAAAGTTCAAAATTTCAATGGTTTTTCACAAGGCTTTCATGGTCGGAAACTTGGATGTTTTATATTCACTACCTACCTAACAATATAAAAAAGAAATTTGAATTACCCAATCTTTTGCAAGGTAGCATGTCTAATTTGACTGGGCTAATGCTCCAAGACTAAAGTTATTATTTAAATATACTGATGAAGTTACGAGGTTTCATTGCCGATCATCATATTTAGTTCCTCTTGTCATTGAGGATTGTAGAAAATTAAAAGTTTTATTTTTTCTTCTCATCATTGAATTATAATTTTTTATTAATATACATGAGCTTAAAGTAAGGTGCATTCTGTTCATTATACTCATCTCTTTGGATTCATACATAATTGTTTCATTGATATGTTTCAATATGTTATTATTTCATTTTCAATGGATTATCTAGTAGTTGTGAGCTCAATTCTTCCTTTTTACTTTCACTTACCTATATATGAAATATATAGTAAGGGACAGTATTGCGACTGTGAAAATTTTTGATTCTGAGTTTTCAATGGAAATACAAGTTTTGAGATCCCCTGAGTCCAAATAATCAAGTCCCGTAAAATGGTCTGTGTGTGTGTATGTATGTGAACAGTCTAGCTCAAAAACGAAAAGTCGTAAGAAAGTGAAATTTCATATTTAAGGTTTATATATATCTTGTATGTTAAAGCAACTTTTTTGTAATAATTGGCTTACCAGAAGTGCCCCTTGATGTCAACGGTGAAACAGGTTTTTACAATTTTCTCAAAAACGGCTCTAACGATTTTGATTGGATTCGGTATATCATTGTATAATTAAGTAGTCTTTAATATTATTTAGGTCTTATCCCCATTGATGTCACTTTACAGGACTTAAATGCCCAATGTCCGTATACGTCTTCCTCTAAAGTACCTTTAATATGGTTTATTTTAAATAATTAACTATCTCTCATTAATAAGAGTTACGAAAAAATGCTTAATATAACTTTTGAAAGAATTTGATAATTGAACAAAAGGGAAAAAAATAAAAATGCTTATCCAGGTCGAAAATGAATCTCCGGATATACTAGTCAGAAGGTATACGTATAATATATCGTTCAAAAGTGAAGAATTTTAGAAAAAAACAATATCTAATATAGAAAGTTGTACAAGGTAACAGGGAGTATCGAAAAAATAATAATTTTTGAAAACTAATATTATTTAACGTAAATCACATGTTTTCAAGGAAATTAAATGAAATTTAGTAACTAAATGTAAACTTTTAAAATATTTTTAAGTTTGAAAACAGTATTTAAAATCCACCAAGTCAAGGCAATGACATTGTTAAAAAAACTATTTCATTGTACTTGTGTGAAAGAATAAGTGAAATATAAAATCATTTCATGGATGTATAAAGCATATGTTTATAACCTTAAATACATTTACTGTAGTTTAATAATTCTAGATCTGATATTATATTTAAATAATTAGGTATCAACGTCCATTTATTCCGAAAAATCCTCACATAACTTTTTAGAAAATTAAATTACTGAATAATTTGATGAATTTTCCCTTTGTGAAATCCCAACATTATCATATCTTACTCTAAATCACCTTTAATTTGGTTTATTATAAATAATAACTATTTCTCATTGCTAGAAACAATGAAAAAATGCTAAATATAACTTTTGAAAAAATTTGATAATTGAATAAAGGAGGAAAAAAGAAAAATACTTATCCTGGGCAAAAATGAATATCCGGAAATAATAGTCAGAAGGTATACGTATAATATATCATTGGAAAGCGGAGAATAAAAAAACAAAAAAAAACAATATCTAATATAGAAAGTTGTAGAAGGTAACGGAGAGTGCCAAAAAAAAAAAAAATGTAAATAATAATTTCTAAAAACTAACATTATTTAACGTAAATTATGTGTTTTCAATGAAATTTTCTTACTAAATGTAAACTTTAAACATTTTATTTTTAAGTTCGAAAAAGTATTTCAAAGCCACGGATTCAAGGCAATGATATTGTTAAAAAAACTATTTCATTGTACTTGTGTGAAAGAATAAGTGAAATATAAAATCATTTCATGGATGTATAAAGCATATGTTTATAACCTTAAATACATTTACTGTAGTTTAATAATTCTAGATCTGATATTATATTTAAATAATTAGGTATCAACGTCCATTTATTCCGAAAAATCCTCACATAACTTTTTAGAAAATTAAATTACTGAATAATTTGATGAATTTTCCCTTTGTGAAATCCCAACATTATCATATCTTACTCTAAAGCACCTTTAATTTGGTTTATTATAAATAATAACTATTTCTCATTGCTAGAAACAATGAAAAAATGCTAAATATAACTTTTGAAAAAATTTGATAATTGAATAAAGGAGGAAAAAAGAAAAATACTTATCCTGTTCAAAAATGAATATCCGGAAATAATAGTCAGAAGGTATACGTATAATATATCATTGGAAAGCGGAGAATAAAAAAACAATATCTAATATAGGAAGTTGTAGAAGGTAACGGAGAGTGCCAAAAAAAAAAAAAAATGTAAATAATAATTTCTAAAAACTAACATTATTTAACGTAAATTAAGTGTTTTCAATGAAATTTTCTTACTAAATGTAAACTTTAAACATTTTATTTTTAAGTTCGAAAAAGTATTTCAAAGCCACGGATTCAAGGCAATGACATTGTTTAAGATACTATTTAATTTTACTTGTGTGAAAGAAGAAGTGAAATATTAAAATATTTCATGGATATGTTTATAACCTTAAATTTATTTACTGTAGTTTAATAACTCTAGATCTGATATTATATTTAAATAATTAGGTATCTATCATCCATTTATTCCGAAAAATCATCATGTAACCTTTTAGAAAATTAAATTAGTGAATAATTTGATGAATTTTTGCTTTATGGTATTATAATCCACTTACAATTAGTGTAACAACTTCTGACCTGTCTATGACAGAGAATGCATATCTCTTAATTCCATTTATTAAACTTTGAAATGGAAAATGACAGTTTAATAACTAATAGTCGTCCAATCCATAATCAATGGATCATACAATCCATAATGAATTGGTGATATAATGAATAGGACTTTTGTTATTTTAATGGTATTTATGATTTGTTAGCTGTAAGCTTTTAGCTTTAGCTCCGTTAAAAATGAATTCAAAAATTTTATAATAGCCTAACTTGGCCAGAAAATAATTTATATTTAAAGTTGAGCTATAAGTAAAAGTTGTGTGTTGCGCGCACCAGATTTTTTCACATAAAAGGCAATTATGTAATCTACTTTTTAAGCTAGAAACTTTATTCCTTTGCCATGATTATTTTAATAATTAACAATTATTCTTCTCTTTCCTTTATAAAGACAAAAATTTTCTTAGTATTAATCTCTGAAATTTTTAAGTATTTTCTCTTAGTTTTTGGTAATTGCCGAATGTTTAATAATTTTAAAGACACCAGTATTGAAATATATTTGCTGCTGAAAAACTTGATTAGACTTAATAGCTGTTAATAGCTGCTGTTGGCTGGAGAGCTCCTTCTTTTTATGTTTTCTGTTTTGTAATTGCTGAGGTTTACCTGTTACATAAGCTATTTATATCTTCATCCCCTGAAATTAGTGTTACTTAAATTTAATATGTTTTTACTTCTTTATTTTTTATTTTATTTTATTTTTATAGGCAAGCACTATTAGTGAAAGACTTAAATTACCAAGTCCTCCCGCTGGTATTCTAAATAGTCAGGAAGAATTCAGTACAGTTCTAGAATTTTGTGGGTTTTTAAAACAAGTATACATTAAAGGGGAAACTAATGACTACATTGGGACAAGCAACATCTGTAGCCAGCAATTAACCTTTGAATTATCAAGTTTTAAGTGTCTTGATTGTCTTATACTATCTAATATACGCATCACCAATTTGAGGAAAGCTGATGAAGCTAGACGCCAGATCAAATATTTAACAGTGAATAGTTGTAAGATTGAGAGGTTAGCAGAGATATTACTATGTGATCATCTGCACTTAGATTGGAAACAGATTAGTTCAATTCAAGTGTGGAGTGCTTTAGAAAAACTTGATGTGCAGCATAACAATATTGTTGACATTGGTATGTACACTGTATTGTTATGTATATAATTTTCTTTTTTCTTAATGATACATTCAAATTCTTTTAACAATATTTGAGAAAAAGTTTGAATATTAATATTTCTAGAAGATATTAGTTTTTATTTAACATAATAATAGATAGATGAATATATTTATTTATAGTTATAATCTTTCAAGTGCAACATATTTTGGACTTAAAAGGTCAACTTTCAAGGTTTCTTAATAATACATTAATCTGTAGACATTAAAATAAAAATACAATTCATAATACAAGACTTGTCAAAAATAGCTCTAAATTTATCTGATCAAAATAACTAAAATTTTTACTAATTCATTCATAAAACAATGAATTGGCTTCATAGTCTGTGGGCCCACTGCAACACACTGCCCCAAAGATGGCGGATTGACGACTTTGACTTTAGTTAGTTTTTTGGTCACTGAGAATCAGCACTTGGCTTAATTTCCTCATGGTTGGTCTTTTATTAAAGCTGAATGGTCAGAGAATAATAAAACATGAACAAATATTAAAAAATAATTGGCTTAAGCAATAAAAAACACCAGTAAAGTCAAAAATTTTCAAGTTGAAAATAAAGCGTCGTTTGTTATTAAACGGCCAACAATAACTCAAAATGTGCTGAAATAAAACATCTGGAGAATATATTTATCTTTTTAAAACACTGATTACTTTTTAAAATATTTGAAGTAGTTCCGTAGAAAATGTACTTATGCAGGAGAAAAGTGGTGCCGCCGTAGGTGCCTACAAGCCTCTACCACACCATTCTGTACTCATAAATGGCTTAGTTATAGTGATATAATAAAGTTTTTGTACATTATATTGGTTTTATTAACGAACAAATATTAATGCAATCATTTAATTGTCAACAAAAATTTTTTTTTTTTTTTAATCTGTTTATTGAATAATAATACAATCAGCCACTGCTGGACGGCTATAAGCATTAGGGCTAAAAGTTCTCATTCATACAATATATACAAATAATAAAGAAATAAATATAAATATAAGAAGTAAATAAATAATACTGGTGAAGAAGTTAAATAAAAATAAAAAAATAAAATAAACAAATAAAATAAAATAAAAACTTCTAAACACAATCATACCTATATACAATATATACATTCACCCAAGAAAAAAAAATTAAACAATTTTTTTTTAAATTTATTATTTTTTTTATTTAACTTGCTTTATTCTATACAGAGGTCGTTTAAGTAGACATCTATTGTAAAAATGATATAATTATAATAATAAAACTTAATTGAAAAATACTTTGCTGAATATCTTGAATTTTTTATTTGACATTTACAATTTAACACTTTCTTTTCTATATTTACTGATTCTTAGAGGTAATTTAAATTCTATATACTTTCCAGGAAATGAGTCATATCATTCATTACCCGTTCTATAAACTAAAACAATATATACCTAATTTGAACTACATTTAATGAATAGTTGCCGGGTTGTTTAGTAAAATTTATTGTTATGAAATTGTGGAATAAATTGTTCAGAAGTTGAAACATATAAAAAAAAAAATAGGAAATTTTAATATTGAATGCATTATTCCCTCTGCACAAATAAAGATGGAAAGGGCGAAACTATAAGTTCTTCTAGTAACCGGAACTGATTGTTTGGATTCGGTGTCAAAATGAGGGAAAATGCAAAATTGAACCCAAAAAGTGCCAAAATCTTGGAAAAGAAAAAAAGGACCAGTATTCATTATATGTCTAAACGAATGTATAGTAGACAGATGAACAGAATATTTCAAGATGCTGCTAAAAGGGAGTCAAATGCTGGAGAAGTTTGGATGATCTTATGGGGACGATGCAGGTTTATTATGGTAATGATCATTTTATCAGCAAGAAAGATTTATTCGAAGCAATTGGCAAGTAAGATGGTCTGGACAAAGTAACCGAACTGTTGCACGCACATAGACAACAATTGTATTAGAAAAAAAGAAATCTCAGAAAAAGGAAAAGAAAACGTATAGTAGACAGATGAACAGAATATTTTAAGATGCTGCTAAAAGGGGCTCAAATACAGTTTGACATGATATTAAATGGGCGATGGAGGTTTATTATGTTGAAGACCAGTTTATTTTCTATTGCTTCTGAAGGTGCACATTGGGAATATCTTCACTTTGAAGCAGGTTATAGAGAGGTCTATCGAGAAAGGGGAATAGCTCTCCTTCTGTTTAATACATTTGCAAACGATTTTTTTAAGGAATCTAAAAGGAAAACGAGCTTTTTCTGAAAGACCGTTAGATATTAGCACAATCCAAAGTGTGAGGCACTAAGCAGATAGAGAGCTATTTTTCTTTCTAGATGGACTTCTCTATAATCTGCCTTAAAGTGAAGATAGTCCCAATTTGCAACTTCTCTTCCAATGTGTATCTTGAGTCTCTCAACTATATCGCTCTGGCAATCGACAATATATCTTATTCTAGCTTCAACGATTCTTAAGCACAGTTTCTTTGGTACAACAAACAGGAATGAATCTCGATGGGATTTACATTTCCTAGTATCTCCTTTCTTGTCAAGGTACAAAACTATAGTCCTTTCTTATCATTTTCTAATACATTTGTTGCTTATGTACCTGCAGCAGTTCAGTTTACTTTGTCCAGACCACCTGACTTGCCAATTGCTTCGAACAAATCTTTCTGGCTGATAAAATGGTCTTCACCACAATAAACCTGTGTTGTCCCCTTAAGATCATCCAAACTTCTCCAGCATTTGACTCCCTTTTATCCGCATCTTGAAAAAATTCTGTTCATTTACATTGTATTATATTATATTATATTTCGTTTAAATTATATTTGTTCGTTAATAAAACCAATATAATGTACCAAAAACTTTATTATATCACTATAACTAAGCCATTTATGTGTACAGAATGGTGTGGTAGAGGCTTGTAGGCACCTACGCCGGCACCGCTTTTCTCCCGCATAAGTCCATTTTCTACGGAACTGCTTCAAATATTTTAAAAAGTAATCAGTGTTTTAGAAAGATAAATATATTCTCCAGATGTTTTATTTAAGTACATTTTGCGTTATTGTTGGCCGTTTAATAACAAACGACGCTTTATTTTCAACTTGAAAATTTTTGACTACTGGTGTTTTTTATTGCTTAAACCAATTATTTTTTTAATATTGTTTTATGCTTTATTATTCTCTGACTATTCAGCTTTAATAAAAGAACAACCATGAGGAAATTAAGCCAAGTCCTGATTCTCAGTGACCAAAAAACTGACCAAAGTCAAAGTCATCAATCCGCCATTTTGGGGCAGTGCGTTGCAGTGGGCCCACAGACTATGACTATGAAGCCAATTCATTTGTGGAAACATTGGCTTTTTTTTAATGAACGTTACAAGGAAAACAACGATATGCAATTTATAGGGATGTGGGGGGGAGAGTGCACGATGGCGGGTCTGGCCCACCGTGTATCATTGAGATATCATAATCGCAATCCTCCTTAAATCCTTTTTTACTGCTATGCAGTGTGAGGATGGCCTCTGTAGAGTTTGGACTATGTGTCCCTCTCCTCTACCATCTCTCATCCTGTTCCACTCCAGTCCTCTCTTTCTAAACACTTCCTCACAAGTGATGCAAGGTCTTCATCTTGTTCTTCACTCTATTTATGTTTCATTTGTCACTCTCTTTTTCTAGATTAATTCTGAAGAGATGTTCAAAACATCTTCATTTAATTTGTTCTTGATTGTTTTCTACTGGTTGTACTTCAAAGTTTGTCCTGATAGTTATGTTGGAAATCTAATTTCTCCTCTTATTCCCTTCAACTTTTCTCAGGTACTCTATTCCTATTGCCTGGATCTGAATGCTGTGTTTTAAGGCAAGGGTCCATGACTTCGAGGAGTTGTCAATTGTTGTCTTGAAGAATGGGCAAGAACATTGACTTCTAGACTGACATATTCTTGGTTACCTCTCATTTGATGAAGAAACCTCTCCTGATCGATTCTTTCAGATGCTCCAGGTCTTTGTGAAACCTTCCTGCCACCTAAATATTTCAAATCCTGAACCTGCTCCAAGATTTTCATAACTCTGTGGGTTTGTCTTCCTACTATCCTGCATTTTTATTTCCCTGGATTAGTATCCATGTATATGCTTAATAGTTTTGCTTGCATGATGTATACTTTATGTTGTTGGTTTCAGTCATTGACAAAAATCATAACGTTGTCAGGAATGATAAGTATCATATAAACAGTAGTCTGCTGGTTTCTATGCCTGAGTTAAAAGCGCTATAATTTAAGTTTAGCTTTTCTCATCACCTGGGTTTAGAACCAATGTAAAAATTAGGGGACTTAGAAATTCTCTGCATCGTCTCAAAATTCTTTTAGGTGATGTTATTCTCACTCACTCATTCACAAACTGGCACTACAGTGCATATAGGTCTCTGGCCTCCATCAACATCTTGCTCCATTCGGCTCTGTCCATAGCATATCTTCTCCAGCGGTGTACACCTAAAGCCTTCAGGTCGGTCTCAACATCATCCAGCCATCGCAGTCAAGGTCTCCCCCGCTTTTGTCCACCTCCTGTCTTCTTGTAGAGCAGTTTTTTAGGGATTCTACCGGATTCCATTCTTTCTATATGTCCCAACCACCTTAATCGACCCAGCTGGATATAAAAGACGATGTCTCCCTCTCCAAACAAATCCTGCAGCTCCTTAATTATTCTAATTCGCCTGGCATCTCCCACTTTCACTAAACTGTATATTCGACAAAGAACTTTTCTTTCCCAGTCTTTCAAAACTCTTATTTTCTGCTGTTAAGGCCCATGAGTCGCTCCCATAGGTGACAGTCAGCCTTGCTATTGTCTTAAGATCAAGAGATTTGCCTTTCTTGAGAGGTTTTTGAACTTAAGGGCCTTCTGCAAACCCTATAGGCACTGGTTTCCAATAGTGATTCTGGCTTTTATATCGGCTTTGGTCAAATTACCCATGGTTATCAAGCTACGGGGATACCTGAATTCTGAACAACAT